AACGTTTAAATGGGTAATTGATGACGATTGATTGATGTGTGATGAAAGCGAGTGAGAGGAAAGGAAAGATCACACAGACAGCACTAATCGAGTTACGTTGTTCGTCTTCAGTGCGAATCATCCCGACCTCAACAACTCACGTTTAAAAGATGATAAAACAAAGCAGTTTCAGTGAAGCAAACAAACGAACAAACACAAAAGCCTAAAGGCAAAAAGATCTCAGTTATCTCAAACGAACATCGCACAGATACGAACCCTCCTAAAAGACCTCTCGTCGAACAGCTCTAGATATCGCTCAGCACTGTTACAATAGGCACATTTGAACAGAACTCTTACCGTTGCATCCTTTACGAAATCCATCCCTTTATCGTACTTCTGAATCCTTCTTCTCAAAAAACGCTGGGTATTCATCACCTCAACAAAGCGTCAGCAACCTCAGTGATCTTTAAAAGAATTATCGACCGGTTACAGTCTCGTCACCAGTTCAATTCGCTTTTCGTTCATGCTCTCACTCTCAACAGCATTCTGTACGTGCTATTGTCAGCCACGTAATCCTCATCATTCAATGAAACTGTTCCATAAATCCACAAATGACCGAATGACTAAATTGACTAAATTCATAATTATTTATTCATTTATCGAAGCATTTCTTATTTATCAGAATTGCCAATTGTAACGTACTTGTCAATCGATTAGGCACTTCATTAAGTCACGGAGCTGCTTGCTCTACAAAGCAGTAAACGATTGCTGGTTAGTAGTTTATTGTATAAATGGTTCGATGAGTGAGGGATAAATCATTAAAGAATTCTCTTCTGTTGAAGATGTCAGAGCCAAAACACTTAACGGTAAGCACTAAGCACACAACTATTAGCATTGTCAACCATCAGGCCAGATCAGCTAATAAATGAATATCTTAGCTGGTTTCACTATTCTTCTTATCTTGCATTCCAATAACTTATTCCTTCTTACTCTATTCTGATCTGATATTATCTAGTTGTCTGGGAAATCTTCATTAGAACTCTTCGTCGAGATATGCTATCCATCTTTAGGAATGCGGACAAAAGCAACTTCAAGCGTTCTGTCTTCAAAGTTGTCGCTTTGTCAAATTACATAAAGATACACCGTTCTAAACTTCATCGAACGACCAAACTGATCACCTATCGTATACTCATTTTGAATCACCAAAACGTCCATCGCCCTCGATCAAATGCATCTGTTTCTGACTCAACTTTCCTATTCACTGATATTTTCCAACTAGTAACTGAAATTTTGATCTCACACAATCTCTGTCCGTTGTGGTCGGTTATTGATTGAACGATGGCTAAAGTTGAGGCGAAATAGTCCCGAGGGCGGGTTGCTTGGGGTTGATGGGAGAGTACCAGGGACCCTCGATTTCATTTTTGGTCAACTTGACCAAGATCCTTGCCGCTTTCATTTTAATGAACATCTTCGGCGATTTCTCATCTCTGCCAAGCATACTTATCGTTAGCAAAGTCCTAAGGGATTAAGTTGAGAAAGCATCACTCGTTTTCTCGCTTGTTGAACGACAATGAGCCGTATAAACGTTTTGCACGTCGATGGCAACAGAAGGATATTTCGTAAGGCATAGAATGAGGAGTAATTCAATATTTATAAATAAATTGAGATGGATAGTGCGTTCGTTGTATTCCTTACTAATTATAATAATGAAGATGATTAGTGAAATCCTGTTTGAACATATGGGTCTTTGCGAGAGACCTTCTTGAACACTTGCTATGAATAACGTAAACAAAACTTATAGAAATAATTAAGAAAGGGTGCAGTGGTACGAACAAAACGTAATATGTGCAGTACGGAAACACAAAGATGCAGGTTTATGATGCTTCATTAATCCTAGATAAACAGCATTTCGTCATCAATAATAACTGAACAAAGAGTGACCAATTCAAAGTTGATTTGTCAAATTGACCGAATTCTTAGAATATGTCCTCTTAAAATTTGATGAGAGATTCTGGTTGATTGAATTCATCAAGTTCCTATCCGCTAATCAGCTCGAAATCCGGAATCGTGATGCATAAACCTAATCAAAAAGAAAACTGCATTTTTCTACGGTCACACAAGGTTTGAAGCCAAAATGCTCACAAAATAGCAGTTATTGCTGACTAATTATGATCTGACTAAGTACAATTTATCGAAGCAGCCTTCATTTTATGAAGAAACATGATACAGAAGGTGTGTATTTAAGATATTCGGATGAATTTGGCATGAATAAATAGTGATGTCAACAAATCAGTTAGAAGCGTATAACGAAGTAAATAAGTAAATAAATTCTTTGAGCATTCACAGAATGCTGTATCTATCAAATTACAACCTCAGTGGCATTGTCTACCGTTATTGTACTACTGCACTGTAATGTGAACTGCCGATATGCGATGGGATGAATATAGGATTGGATAGATGTATTGATGATATGTAGATGTGCTGAGTGACAAGGCTGGATGGATGGATCTCTCGGTGAATATCCTTTTTGATACACTTCAAAATACCATCATTTTGATTGCTAGTCATTAATTATTGTTATGACTGTTCTCGTCATTATCGATACCAATTAAAGCAATTATAAGTTTCATGTAAACTCTTTCAAATAAGGCTATGCAGCATTACAATCAACTGTTTATCTAAATCTCCCGAAATAAGGACTCAACCAAACGAGAATGATAACAGACGCATCCCAGATGAATGAAGCAACATGTTTTATAAAGCCGATCGATAGTTGTGTTACTGAGTTGAACAACCCAATTAAATGACAGTCAATAAATAAAAGGTCTATGAGTGATCAACAAAACCGATAATGATTGTTTGCTTGACAAATAACTTGTTCATTGAGATACAACAACTCCATCACGAGTTCAAGCAAACTCAATAACATCGCAGAAGTGGTACAGTCAGCAGTAGGAGTCTGCGTATCGCAAAGGATCTGCACTATCGAGTCGATATATTATGTTATAATGATGTTGCCAGATTGCAAATTCTGTTATTGTCGTTTCATGGATCATCTGCTCTGTCTCAAAAGTATTTCTTGCCAAACACATTCGATTAATGTTTCTTGTTCAGCTTACTTGTCTTCATTCTTCCAACTGAACAATCAAGTTACAATGACACGGTCCATCAATACTGAACCAACAACAAAGGATATTTGTTCATCTTATGTTTTAATACGTGCGATTTCTGAAGAGTGCACTCCACACAGCATTTATTATTTCTTCACTTTAGATTGCGATTTTCTCCGTTATATTTTCAAAAAGATCATTCATTCGGAATTTTCCGCACGATTATTGGGAGCTTCTTATTTGTTAAGCTTGGGTTAATCGGAAGTAACTGTGGAATATGGTACTGGAGATTCAAAAAAGTCGAGAGAAATTATTTGAAATTCGACTCGATGGATGAATCTGGACCATAAATTATCAAGAAACGGAAGATTCATTAGTAGACATCGTCGTAAATTCACGTAGAATCTTTGCATTAAAGGTCACCATAAAAATGTAGAAATTGCTGTAAGTTGACATGAGCATGGCAATACACCTCAGCACATTTTAGTGAGTCGTAAAGATGCTTCATAAAAAATGCAAATCTTCGCTGCTATTCACGTATGTTTACATATGTTTACGTCACTTATTTTACTATACTTTACTTTTTATCTAGTTACTCAATTGCGACATACATTGACGCTTCGAAATAAATCCTCGACTTAATGTCATTCAAAATAATATATTTCGGCATCATACAATCATTTTCTTAGGGTTGGAGATATCATGAGGTGGCGATTTTGCAGTTAAGATGCTCAGTAAGAGGATCGGCTTATTCACCAGCCTCAAATAGCGTCTTTCCCCTGCTGAGTTTCACCATTCCATTCGAATCTACTGAATTTTTTTAATAATCATGACTAAATTGTTTCGTGTCAGTTTCATCATTCAGCAACATTCAAATCCAACTCATCATGTATGTAATGTAAAGACGTTGCATTCTGCTCGAATATATGAAAAATAAGTCTGTTCTGCATTTATTGCATTTTCGAAAATACCGAACCTCTGCTATAAAATGATATACAACTTTCTTCCTAATTTTTCTCTCAGATGCGAGAGAATTTCAGTTAGTCTAATAAATAGCAATTGTGACTGTTGAACATCATTATTGATCACACCAAGCGATATTCTCTCGTATCTTAACAGTCAGCGTCAAAGTTTAATGCAGATTTATACGGTACTCAGTCTCGACTACGAGATGGTATACATTATGGTTGTGAATTTTTGCTGTCGGATGGGTAACAGTTCCAATTACTTTTTTACTTTTGCATTAAATCGAAATTTCGAACATGTCTTCATTGCTGCTCACTCTGTACATTATGTTTCATTCTTGTTGTGTTGCCGAGTGGTGACAATGGAAAAACAGTTATTATTTATTGGGCTTAAAACACAACAATAACAATGGGGGTGAAGTACACACACAACACAGGGTAAGCACTGTGTAGACAATACACGGCCGATGCACGCAAGACGAAACAGAACAATGACCACTCATGGTATGATTGAGAAGACCTTATATAATTACAATCAACCAATCAGAATTCGACACGAGAATGATAGGCGCGAAAACGATCTAGCACATAATGATCGACGCAAGATCAATAATCAGTGGTTACCACCACAACAATTCTCCTGGATCTGCGCTACAAACAAAAGGATGCATGAAAAGCACGGATTCGTTCCCGTTAAATAGTTAAGAAAGTCACCCTCAAATAAAAACGTGAGTTCCGTTGCTTGGCGAATTGTCATTCCGTTCTTACTTGGCGAACTGTCAGCTTACCATTGAAACGCACAGTAGCACTTATCTTGAAGGCAGTTATCCGTCACTTCCTAGACTAACTGTCCAAGACGTCAAGTAATGTTGTCAGAATTTTGCATTTTGATTAAAAAGCACTAATGATCCGTATGAAATCAATTGTGATGAATACTGATTTGTAGATGGCTTCATTATTCGAAGACAATCAAAAAGGTGATATGGAAGTGCCCGAGGACGATTCAGATCGGTTAACTTTCACTCCTCTGTAAGCTTTTACGCTGACACAGTCAGGTTTTAATTCGTACTGCTTTCATTAATTATTGTTACCGTTCTGCTAAAATTGATTCAGTTACCCTCATTCTGATGAAATCTCACTGACTGTTACATTTGAATTCGTCAATTTTATTTGTTTTTTGCAATTTTAGGGGATCTGGTCAAGAAGTGGGACGTTCATGTCATTATTTAACATTCAAAGGCAAAAAAATCCTGGTATCACCAAACAGTTTTATACACCTTTCTGCATTCTTCAAATTTTCGATGGATGATATTTTTGGTTTCGCCAAATATTTTCAGAATTTTTTCATTTTGAAATCCTCTTGCCTCATCACCATATTAGCATGCACATACTAAAAAACAGGTAACTGATGATTATGATTGCATGAATCATAATCAGACATTGCATGAACGATAATCATCAGTTACCTGTTTTCTAAAAAGGAAATGATTTTGAATCTTTTACTATTTATTACATGTAAGTATTGACAGGATGAAATTTAGTTGGATTGCGGGATTCATCCGGGCATGAGTGGAGTTGATGCACTTCCTTTTGTTGACTTCGTAGATTGTGAAGAGCTTGATCTTTTATTGGTATGCATTGGTTTGTTTATTTTTACAACCTTTGTTTCATTTATTTTTAGGAATGATGTTTTAGAAGGAACTATTGCAGAAATTAATTATGAATATTTCTCTTCATTTAGATTCATTCAAACGGAATCCAAAATATAATTTAGGTAACGCATTTTCATTTGGATCATTGCGGTGCAGTACCATGGCTTCTGGAGAAGACAGCATTCCGTGGTCGTTGTTTCATGACTCATGCCACGAAGGCTATATATCGTATGCTTATTGGCGATTACCTCAAGGTTATTTTTTATCTTAGAGATTTCTGGAAGATAGCGTTGGACTCGTTTTTCTTTCATGAACCATCTATCAGGACAATGAAATGCAACTGCTGTGCATTTTAGTTCTTGCTCATTGGTTCTCACCCATTCGAACTTTTCTCCAAAGTTTTGTAAATGTTGAGTATTGAAGATTCATACTTCAAACTCATCCACACGGTTTAACTGATTGTGATTAGTCAATCAAGTGATCAGAAATTAGGAAATAAATTGATTCATTCGCTTGAATTATAGGTATCAAAATATGGTGGTGGAAGTGATAATCGACTGTTGTACTCAGAAGAGGATCTGGAGAAAACAATGGAAAAAATTGAGGTTAGTGGCGTTATTGATGATAGGTGGTGGTTTTGGGAATGAGTTACAAATAGTAGATTAACAACCACGCGGTCATATTCATTGTGGACTCGAGATGTCAGTTTTGCAGGTGATCGATTTTCATGAGCAAAAGGAAGTGAATGGAATCAAGTTTTGGTGTTACGTGGCAGGCCATGTGCTTGGCGCATGTATGTTCATGATTGAAATTGCTGGAATTCGTGTTCTGTACACAGGAGATTTTTCACGTCTCGAAGATCGACATTTATGTGCTGCAGAATTGCCGACGGTCTCACCGGATGTTCTGATTTGTGTTAGTTTCTGTGTTTGTTCATTTTCTTCATCGGCCTTCATTCATCAACATCTGATATGAATAATGGCTAGAGCGAACAGTTTGCGTTGTTGGGATATTTTATATCGGATAATACGGGGATTAGATTTTCATTGAAGGTCTTCCAAAATGTTGTTTCATCCTTCAGGAATCGACATATGGAACACAAGTGCATGAAGGTCGTGAGGAACGTGAAAAGCGGTACTGCTTACTGATTTGACTTGTATGTTTAGTATTGAGTACCGTGGGAGGATGAAGAAATCAACTTCACACTTGCAAGGTTATAAATGTTGTGATGGAAGTGGTATGGAATAAATTCAGGTTTACGAGTACAGTGCACGAAATTGTTGCTCGTGGTGGTCGGTGCTTGATACCAGCGTTCGCACTTGGACGTGCACAAGAGTTGTTACTGATTCTGGATGAATACTGGGAAGCACATCCTGAACTGCAAGATATCCCAGTCTATTGTTAGACCTCTTTGTTGTTCGTAGGCTTGAAAATGCTAATTAGGGAATATTGGCTAATATGATCTGTTCGTTCTCAACTAAGTTTTTTCCTAGCGGGTTGTTAAATTTTTGTAGTGGATTTTTGATGGAGATTTAATTGCAGACGCAAGTTCGTTGGCTAAGAAATGTATGGCTGTATATCAGACGTTCGTGAGTGGCATGAACAGTCGTATCCAGAAGCAAATTGCCCTCAATAATCCATTCGTCTTCAAGCATGTCTCAAATCTGAAAGTTGGTCCTTATACTTCCTTTCACGCAACAATTGTAAAACAATTCTCATTGTATTGATTGGTCCATCATTAAGCTTTGAACACAGTTTTGAACAGAACTTGATTTGCAATGGTATGTAACATCAGTTACTATGTCCAGTACTCCCTATCTCAACAGTGAGGAATGGATGAAGGTGGCAGCGCGTTAGTAATATTATCGAACTATCGTAGAGTATCGAGCATTTCGAAGATGTGGGTCCATGTGTGGTGCTGGCATCACCGGGAATGTTACAAAATGGTCTTAGTCGCGAACTGTTCGAGAATTGGTGCACTGATTCAAAGAACGGTTGTATTATTGCTGGTTATTGTGTTGAGGGTACTCTTGCCAAGGTTTGCTACCAGTTATCGTTTTTACTATTTTTTTCGCTAGCATTCATAGTTTTAGTACAATCATTTTGAAGAGTTTCTGTGAGTTTTGTTGTGAAAGAGGGAAAAATTTATTTGATGGAATCTCATCATAAGAGGTATATATTTCGTGTACAATTCTCATTTGATCAGTAGATAAAAGAGCACTTTTGTTTTAGCACATTTTATCAGAACCAGAAGAAATTATTACAATGAATGGTCAAAAATTGGCAATGCGATTGCAGGTTATTATTCTTATCACAGCACATTTGTTCACTACGATTGCCTTGTTGTATAATTGTTCTTTGATTCTTTCATATACAAAACATCTTTCAAAATATTCTTGTTCCAGTCAACGACTGCCTTACTTTATTGGGAAGCTCTTTCCACATTCCATGAATAACTAAGTATCATGTTGTCCTCGATTAAGTAAGTGTACATGTTCTTGGTACGCTTATTTCGTACCTGCGATTATTTCATCCCGCTTTGATTATGGCTTTCATCCAGGCATATTGTTTGCTTTTCGCATTTAGGTGGCGTACATAAGCTTTTCGGCGCATACGGATTACGCACAAACATCGAATTTTGTTCGAAGTTTACATTCGCCACATCTGATATTGGTTCACGGTGAAATTAACGAAATGAATCGGTTAAAAGCGGCAATCGTACGACAGTACGAAGATGATGCTGATCTCCATATTGAGGTGATTCTTGATTCATTTCGAGATTCGCTGCTTTCCATCAAAACACTTTTCTATTTATGTACACATTTTCTTTTTGTATGGAATGTGGGTAAAGATTCACTGAACGATGGAATTTTAGGTTCATAACCCACGAAATACCGAATCGATTGAGTTGCATTTCCGTGGTGAAAAAACTGCCAAGGTTATTTTGGTGTTGCTTTTGTTATTTTATTTAAAATGTGTGATGAGTTGACATAAAATCATTGTTGCTTGTTTTGAAGTTGAATTTGACTGGTGACTTGTTTTTTCAACTAAACCTAGTTGAGTTGCTTTAATTTTTTTAAAATGTCATTGTTATTATTTTATTATTATTATTATTATTATCATTAGTATTAGTATTAGTGTTAGCATTAGCAGTATAATTTATTACGATTATTAGCAGGATTGTTCTATGAGTGTTTGTATGAGTATGTGCAGATAAAACAGGAATGAATTAATTGGATAATTTCAATATTTATAGGTGGTTGGAAAAATGGCGATAAATGCACCGAAGGATGGTGAATTGTTGAGCGGTGTTTTGGTGAGACGAAATTTCAATTATCATTTGATGAAAGCGGATGATCTGAGTGGTTTGTTTTTGATTTGTTTCCATGCAGCTGTCATTCTTGTTTATAGTGTTCAGTTGTTATTGACGGTGACAATTTTCAGCTTATACGGATCTTTCAAATAGCGTTCTGACCCAAAAGGAAAGTGTTCATTATAGTGGAACTATGTCACTGTTGCTACATAATCTACAGCAAATTTGTGGTGATGTAGAGTTTATCGAATTGGATATGAAAGATGGTACGCAACCATCTCATCTCATCCAGATGTTCAGTGTTCGTTGATTAGATTCATTCTTTCGAAAGTAATGACAATTACACTCGTGGTTACAATTTTGTGATACGAGTCGTTGCATTTGTCGCATCATCACGGAACAATCACTTCTAATGCTGTTGCAGTTTTTTCTTTTAATAGTCATTTCATTCATAAAGATGCGATGATATGCATGAAACAATCGTAATTTTAAGGGTCATGTCCGGGTGAATATGTATTATGCACAGCAAGTAGCCGTTATCGAATGGACTTGTAATCCAGTGAACGACATGTTTGCTGATGCTACTTTAGCAGCGATTTTACATGCGCATACGAATCCGATTCCTGATAAACGTGAGTAATCTTCAAAGTTATCGAGGCTGAGTGAGAAGGCATCCGGTAATTATATTTGATATTTGTTGAAGAACTGAACAAATGGAACAGTGAAATCGATCTGATGGGATCAATTCGTAAGACTTTGTTTGAAGTATGTGGTGATGAAGCAGTGGTTCATATCGTTAATGGTTCAATCCAGATTGAAGTGGACGGGAAACAGGCATCGATTGATATTGAAACTATGGCGATAACGTGTAGTGATCAGTTGCTGTATCACCTCCTCTCATCGATCACTCAAAAAATAATTTATGCACTAACACCGGTTTGCAGTGCTAACACCAGCACTAGTAATCACAGTGGTGGTAATATTAATGTAAAGAATGAAGTTTCAAAATGAGATGCTGATTTTAAAAATTTATTGATATTTATATTATTTACTCACACAGTCACACGCATACCATATTCTCATGAATGAGTCTCATATTTTTTTATTGTTTGAAATATATGAAGTGTCTATATGCAGTTTTTTATTGTGTTTCTTTGATTAATTAGCTTGTTTCAAATTAGTTAAAATCAGTTTTATTCGTCTTTCATATCATTCCAATCAAAAATTCCACAATTTTGGTTCCTGTCACGTATGGACTGTAGAAATTTTCACTGCAAGATTACCGTTCGAAGTGCGAGCGAATTTGTCTATCGAAAATATTGAATAAATGGCAAGTACGCATTGTACTTGGGGTGAGTTCTCGGGATTCTTTGGTGCTTGAATTAGTGGAATTACTACAGTTTTTATTTATCAGATGCCTTATTTCGGTTTCAAGAGTTTATTATTTGAATTTGCCATGCGTTTTGATATTTGTTGCTGTTGATTGTTGTATTGATCTCGTTAAACACTTGTTGCTTTCGAAAGGCATTGTTGTTGTTCCTGCAATCTATGTCACAAAGTGCAAGGAATGTGCATGCAAGGAGGCATTATCAGTACACTGAATCGTGAAATGATGGTAACAATTGTCAAAAATTATGGGCAGCTTTTCTTGGTAAACGAAAGTGACGTAATTGTCTGACAAGGACAATAAGCGTTCGATTGAACAAACTGCGTGCCTGTCTTACCTGAAGGCTTCGGTGCGGTTCTTTCCGATTGCGCAAAATCGGCATTGTTGATTTGTTGTAGATAGTATCTACTAGATACTATGCTCATTCTTGGAATAACCGACGAAATGAAAATATGTCGAAATTTTTGCAGTGTTTTCGACAATTATATTCAAATGATTCGTTTTCCATTTCTTTATAGACGCTAGTAGTGAGCCTCGTGGTTAACTACCTTTCATCTATTCAATTGATTTCCACTTCAGACAAGCCCCAACTACATACGAAAATAATATTTTCAGTAGACAAACATAGTATGTAAGCACCGCATTATGCTGAGTTCCTTGGATATCTCAAAGATTGGCAGCAATTCGTTCGTCAACGATACGAACGCGATGCAATATCAATTATGCTCTCGAATTTCATTTCCCTTCGCTGCTGCAACCAGAGAACCGAATGTACATCTTGATTTGTATGTGATTCTGTTCATTTCTTCTCGGGCATCCTTTGCCCTTTTTAGTGCATAAATATCTGTCTACTTAAAACGACATCTAACATTGCCGTTCCGAACTGTCCTCTTACTACTTTTGAAGACTGGCAAAGAGTACATTTTTACGCTACTGCTATTAATTTTGAATCATTTACTAGAAATACTTCCTGTCATAAAAATATTCTTTCACTCAAATTTATATTCAAAGACGTAGAACTAGTAAACCCACTTCATCATATCTACACTTTCTTGACTTCTGGAAATTGATGACTCAGAATAACATAAGTGAAGCAATTTTCATTTCCAAATCAAGAAGTTTCGATATTCTTATTCCAGCTTCTCAAAATGAACTACAACGATTGATAGGAATGAAAGATTAAAAAGCAAATCAGATGTTTGTTTGCCTACATGCCAACGCTCTCCCTGAAAAGAATATCTACGGATTCCGTTTCCGTTGCTTTCCATAGCATAAGAATTGTTTATCTACACAAAGGTAGCATTTAAATACGTTGCATGTTTCTTCGTTATCGTATTCCCAACAAATTCATCAATGTGAGCAACAGATTCGCAACCGTTAAAGCTGCCGTTATCCACTACCTTTTGCTGGATTAATGCGAATAATTACTGATATCAAAGCGTTCATTAACACGAAGAAGAGCACTGCATTATTCGACAACTGCTCAATGCCTCGTCGTCGTAAACATACTGACGATGTTATAACCGCTTCGTCTACATCGATTGAATCTTTAGAACCAACGCTAAATAGATTTGCCGAAGATACATCAATGTTGGGATTTCGTTATCTGCACACTAGATATAAAACATGGTTTAGGTATGATCCGACAGTCATTCAACTTAGTTGCATTTGCGTTGTAGTACAATTGTTCCTTTTATCATTGCCTGTTCGATCATTAATATTCGATTTCGATCATGAATATTCGAAATGGTTCAGATTTGAGCTTGTACTCATTGTCAGGGCTAACTTTGGATGAGACTCATCAAATGTGATCTTTTTACAACTTTGGAAAAGAGGGCGCATGCCTTTCACTGATAAAGATTGATCAATTTGGTGATCTTGACGTGTGTTTTAAGGTGTGTTTGGGCATTGGTTCTGATATTTTTTATCGGTTTAACAATCTATCAAGTGATCGAGCGGATTGGTTATTATTTCATTCGCAATCCGATTATCACTACGCGTGCTTATTACACGCCATCAAGAATCGCTTTTCCTACAGTTCTCGTTTGCAACAAAATGCAACTGAAGTCATTCTCTTCTCACTTTTATTTTTCATTTTTCAAACATTTTTCACTGCAGTGGCATTGAGCAATTGTTTTAAACGAGAGGAGTATATACTCCCGTGCGGTACAATATTGCAATGATATTGAAGAAAGCGATATGAATTGGACAAAATTGAGGAGAATAAATGACACATTCAGATGCCTTCACCAGACTAATGCTCAAGTTTTCTCGTCGCTCACATCTGTCATATGCTGCACATCTAAGTTTTTGTAGCACTAGCTTTCCGATTCATTTTCATGATAATGACCGTGCATTGTCATTAATGTAATGTAGTTGACTGTTATAAATCCACGATTCGCCGATAAACTTTCCTTGGCTTATCTAAGTGAAAGTATCAAGCGACTTTGAAACTTTTCTGCCTCAAAGGGTGACTTCTGTTCGACAGGTGCAGATACTCACATAAATGCAATGAACTTGGTGATGAGAGAAAAATTCATTTCACTTATTCGATACTACAGATCGTCGAAAATTGCAAAATTACATCCAAATCTGCTTCGAACGATGTCACTGATGTACGAGGATGATGGTACACTCACCCGAAACGAATCCGTTTGGAGAATGATCGAGTCGTTTGACAGAATTGTTCTTTCGAATGCTTATAGTAATGCGTTTCAAACAGTTGATGACTTCTTCATGAGGTGACTGACTTATTTATCAATCTTGTCAGTATTTAATCGTGCTGGCTCATACGCGTTCAAAGCATTCCATCAGATGTTAGAAGAGGGAAAATTCCATGCTGAGAATGTGATTCTTGCTGTTAGATAGGCAGTTCATATTCTTGCCCAATTCTGATGGATGTTGAGAGAATTTCGGAGTGTGCCTGACATTCATTCCTTATTGCAATATACTACTGTCGACATCCTCAACCTCGACTGTAAACTTTATGAGATTTTCAGTTGCCAATATGGTAAAGGATTAATGTGCTCAGATAATATTCAAACGGTTCTCACACCGAATGGAGTATGCTTCGCTGTAAAGAACAACCTCACAGTCGAGAGACCAGGTGAGTTTTGGTTGCTCATGCATAAATAAAAGGTTTCTGTCAGTCCTACTAACGGCCACAAAAATTGCCCACTAATGTAGAGTTTTGAAAGTCAGCATCCAATTTCCGTTTGGAGAAAACGACCGATTTCAGTAGTCTAAGATTCTTATGCTTCTAAAATAGCTGAATATTTGTAGGACCCGAAACGACGCTATCATTGCTGTTGAACTTAGAAGTGTATGAGATCATACCTGGTTGGGTTTCCGAACCCGGTGTAATGGTATCGATGTATGATCCATCGGTACCTCCGAGCGGTTATCTCGGTGAAGGAATGCACTTGGAGCCCGGTAAAGTGGTTACAATACCGATAAATGATATGAGGAAGGTTATTATTTCCTCAAGCACTCTTCCAAATGATGAAACTATTTCAAAGCACTTCATTGTTTTTACACAACGAATGTTATCATTCAGCTACGTAACATCTGTATAAGGACAAGTCTTCAACGATGACTTTTATGCCTTGAATTTTACATGTATCGAAATAAATAATCGAAAAATGAACTCATCAAACGTCACTGATCTTAATTAGTTTCTCGGTGACAGACACAATATTGCAGTGATATTGATATTCAGATGTATGATAGTTGCATCCAGTATTTTATTCTGAAAGCTTAATTGATGTTGCATGCAGCTTTCAGTTACGAAGACACTCCAGTGAATGTGGTCGTCAGCAGGTGGGAAATTTCAATCGCAGTGAATATTCGCACGTTGGGTGCCAATGGTATGCCGCAAACAACAACATCGAGCAAGCTTGTCGTTGTGTATCGATGCGAAGTCCACGTCATCGTCAAACACTCTTCAGTGAGACATCACAAGTGGAGGTTTTGATTCGTTCCGTCTTGTTGACAGTATTACCTTGTGCAAAATCAATTATTAGTTCCACAATTCTCATGATGTAATCAATTAGATCAACTGCATCACGATATTGTCCTCTTGGAACGTGAGCCATGATTGCGATATGGTAACATCAAACAGATTGAATATCGATACATGAAATTTCATCAGCATAGATTAATCATCTTCTCGGAGTTGTCTCTATACGCTCACCGTTAGATTCAGGAGCAGAAGTTGAACAGCGGTATCGAGCAGAAAGCACACAAGGACGGTGTAGCATCATTCCCGGCATGCAATCTCAAACAAGAATTCAGTTGCGTTAACAATATTCTCGTAGGTTTCCTCGAAATAATTTACATCAATCTGATCAAATCAGTCCATTCATATGATAGCTTAAAGAAGTTAACGACATTCGGCACTTATGGTAATGCAATCATTGGTAATTATCTTCGAATGCAATCGTCTATGCTGAGACCTCAGAAGTGAACTTCAGAGTCAGGCGTTCAAGACAAGGAACATCGTAGAATAAAAGTCGGCTGAAAGTTCACTTCAAATAAGTCTGATTTACACAGGCGAAACCATTCGATGAGAAGACATCTGCAGAGCGTGAACAGTGCCCAGAGGACTGCACTGAAGTATCGTTTACGACGATCGTCTTCGGGAATCGTTTGGATGTGAACGAAATTGCAAGTTTTCTGCCGGGTGACTGGGAAGAAGAAAAAGAGAAACGTCTAACTAATTTCCAGGTCGTTATAAGTTGGTGTACCTTAAACGCGACTCTCTATCGCCATTGCATATGAGGACCATTTTAATGCAGAAATTGATTTGGTTTTTGCTTGATATTTATTGTAGCTTATGAAGGAACTTCAGAACGCATTCGACAACCTTCCGAACCACCGGATTCCCTTGGTTAGGAACATACAAAAACTTGCAACTGAAGCACAGAGTTTTTTGGAGCAGGTTATTTCATTCATAGTTGAACTTTGATGAATTAAATTCCGATCAGTGGTACATCCCTAGGTATTTATTTGCATTATCTCTTGTTATGAGAAGAAGAGCTGAAAGTGCTCCATGCTGAACAATTAGGCAGCATGCATCCAACGTGATCAGCAGAAGACAGTACCTAATCCAAATAAATCTAAATCTTTCCCTCCATGGTTTTTGAGTGAACCCTTCTACACGAGACAAAATGAACCATGAGGAAGTTCAGCATTTGCGTAAAGCAGAACACAAAGCTAATAAATTCATCATTTTGAGAGCCTCGTGAACGAAAGCAAATATTTGCAGTAGAGAAAAATCTGGATTGAGTTGTCATCTGAGTTCGTTTGAGTGAAATCAATCGATTTTTTTCTACGGGTATTTTTGTTGAACAAAAAACTATTTTGAATTCATGCGAAGTTGAACTTGAGTCAATAATTATTCATTTTGGTCAGAAAAAGAATCTTTAGGCTTTGAAAACCTTTGGAATCACAGAAAATATCACCGAGACACATTTACCGTGCATTATGGATCAGCAACATGACCTAGCAACAACCATCGTTCACTTTCATGATATTGAGCATATCTGGGAACATGTCGCCAGGTTTTCATTCATTCTCTCAATCAGCAGTGAAGCAGATGCACCCAAAGTTGCATGCATCTTTATGACTCGGTTTCAGTGTGAATTCATGCTATAATCAATTCGCAGCCCACATATAAGCTTACTTATTTGACCAACTCAACAGATAACTTGACTACTGCTTATCGTGAACGTGAACAGCAGAGCTCAAGAAAAGAACGGGGTTTGACCCTATCAAATCATTTGAACTGAAACGTATTGTAAGACAGCGAATGTATATCATTTGAATACTTTGCTGATGTCAATCGAAATTCGATACTCTCTTACTTGCGGGTCTTGCTCTCGCCTAATTTTGTTCAGTAATGGAACGTTTGATTAACGACGACTTAAATAATTATGATTTTATAATTTCCATCAGATTGCAGCTATATTGAACTGATATTTCAATTTCATCTTGGTTCGCTGTTTAAATTACTCCATATCGACATCACTGCTGACTTTTCTCTTTATTTTGATAATAAATACCGCGACGACGAGGACAATAAGACTGATTCAAAAATTAAAGAGGTTGTTACTTGCTAAATCCATGTGAAACACCACTGAATTTTATCGTTTCATCTTTAGATAGAATCTGCAATATTCGATTTACAATTGATCGAGTCGTCAATAAATCAGCCGAAAAGTGTTTTTGGCTTGAAGTCATTGAATTTCGATGAACGAAAGGTCAGTTAGTGTCATTGATGTGTTCGTCATTATTGCATTTGCTTGTATAAGCAATGAATGGCTGCATTTCAGGCGGTTATTTCGAAAATAATAACCTCGGTAAAGGAGTTACAAGAGTGTTTGATTGAGATGCGCAATGATTTGGCGAATATCAGCGAATATCGACGTCAATGTGTTCAGGTAAACAATTCATTTTGTTGCGAAACTATATTTGTCCCACCTGCGATCAATACAAATCAAGCTATTGGTGACCATCACGCATGTGCACAGCTCGTTTCGGAACAGTCATTGCAACAAGCATCGTTCATTCACAGATGAAGTTGTTTTTTTGATAACTTTCTCCAAAAATACATTTGTTTTGGCTGTCTGAAACAATTCGCTTTTACTTCGGTGGCTCAATCGCCTCGTCCTCTCCTCTTTTCTCAATTGGAACAATATCTAGTATTTGCGTCCAAGATAGATTAGGTAGTTCTGTGATAAGCTTCAGGATGTCATTCTATTTCGTTAAAATCCTATTTTCGGTTGCAGATATTTAAAGATCATTACAATGCTCTACGCGATGCACGTCTTGTTTCACAACTTCTTTCGACGAATCTTTTCACCTCATATGAATCGCCAATGAAAAAATTAATTGAAACACTCAAACATGTCAAATATCAAACGCAACCGAAAATGTTCGAATGGAAAAATTTTGACATATCACTTCGACAATTCGAAACATTGTACAGGTCAGCAGCTGATTCATTTCAGTCAAGGAATACAGTCGGTGAATCGTCTCATATGGGTGCATTTCACACGTTAAATGCTATCATGTTCTGAAGAGGTCATAACCTGGAAGCCACCGGTTTGTCTAGTTTTATCATCAAGGTGTAGGGCTGTAAGTATATCGTAGCTTCAGTAACAATAAAAATGTTCATGTTTCGTGATTTCAAGGAGTTGTATTCTATCATTGTTTCAGCGAAGGAGGTAAGGACAGTCATGAAATCCATGATCTGTTAAAGATGCGAAAAATACTTCAATCCGATTTAATTCGTGAGGTCAGATTTTCGAAGCATTTTTTTACCTACGATCCTTTTCAAGAGGGACGCCTAACAATGGTATAGTAATCAGCCAATTGGGAAGTTATGTTTTTACAAATCATTTTTATGCTCGCCTCTGGTAGAAGTGTTAAAAAAGTTTGTGAACTACCTTTCATGAACACTTTTGAATTGCTATCCGGATTGAAGTCCGATATTTTCCAAATTTGAAATGTTCTGAATTGAAATCCGAGATTTTCGGTTTCTTGCACTATTCGTTCCATATCACACTTTCTTTGCTGATGCGCGCACAATCGCGATATTACTGTGTTCAATCGAACTTCAAATTAATATCTCGTTCAGATAAACGAACTCTTAATTAGTTTCAATTCGGCGTTAATGGCTCGCCAAAACTTCCTTAACTTCACGCAACTGCAACCGTTAGCAAATTCGTCTGAATATCAAATTCAACGTTCCATCCAGTGTTTACATACCTTATTGACATGCACTCAAACACTCAAGGTAACGAATACCTTTGGGTCATAACTTACTGGCTAGTTTTTTGTGATGGATGAGCCACAAAAAATTTTCTTTCTGATCCGTAGGCATCAATACTGTTACAGAAGTCGAATTTTTTGCGTGCTGAATGGTTGTCGAGATTACAGCGACAGGTGACAATCGCGAAGTCGTATTCACCAAGCCCTCAGTACGATGAGTGAGTTGATTGCTCAATCTGGATGCATTTCATTTGACGTGTACTTTTTATGCAAACAAATTTAGCGCTTCAAATAACTGTCTCTAGCTGAATGCATGTACCTGTGCTTGATTGAAGCAACCAGTCTGTAATCGCGGACAGATCTTCGTTGTTTCAGAATAAATCTACTCTTCGTAAAGATATATTTTGCTCACTTCAAGCAAGAAGTGATCACACAAGAACGATCCTATAGTTTGTTCCTTCTATTGGGTAAGTTTTGAGATGCTGCAAATCATCATTTCTATATTTTTAGCAAGCGTAGAATACGTGAAATATTTCTCCATATCATCAATTGTGAGCTATCGGCTTGATCAGCATTCTTTATTCTTGCTGTCGGCCATACTTTCTTTGGGATAGTCTCACCGGAATCATTGTTTGCAGCTGAAATCGGTGGAACAATCGGGCTCTACGTTGGTGCGACATTGTTGACAGTGGCCGAAACAATTGTGTTCTTCATTGAGAAGCGAACAAGAAAACTACTTATTATGCCAACAGATCTTTGACGAATTTCTCATCCTGTTTCATCAATTTCTCATCCTACTTACGATCAGCTGTCGTTTAAAACAGAGACTGCAAACTTTCACAAGAAATTTTAATTTTAGCGTTTGAATGACTGTATTGTGTTTATCTGTTGAATAAATTCTATACTTATTGTCACTACGACTGTAATTACTTATACAGATTTATAAATTCTACTATTTTTTAGCAGCAATTCCATTCTACTGTTACAAAGCAATGATCCAGTGTTGGGCGCGCTATCGAAGAACGATAGCGCGCTATCGCTATTCCGCTAGCGAAAAGACTTCCGCTAGTCCGCTACCGCTATCGCTATTACCCACTGAATCGATAGCGGAGCGCTATCGCTACCGCTATCGCTATCGCCTACTTTAAAAACCTCATTACACCACTAAATGATTCAAAATTTTCATTAATCAACACGCATTTTTGAATTAGATGTGAGAAACATTACGAAAGTAGATTTTCACGAGAAAATAAATTTTATTTTAAGACAATAGGAGACAATATAGGTTTTTAAGACAATATAGGTTTATCTGCTCAATTCCTCACCTGGGATGAAAGCCCGCCGCAAGCAAACAGTCAACATTATCCAACATTGGACCGAATCTTTTCCTGATGCCTTGCAGTAGTGCGTCGACAAGTGGTTCGCAAAAAAATAGAGAAAAAGAAGGTAAGTCTCAACAAGCAATCTAATAAGGTCATGAGAGGTTTGAAAACTGGCAGCATGACAAAACTGTAGTGATCAACCTTGCAATAGATCGAATACAGCATCGAAGTGCACCAAGTCGAAAGAACTCCGCGTAGGAAATGTGCTCATAAGACGATAGAAGAACGCATTTGAAGTTGACGTTACAATTTCTTGCGTTATGCCAGATTGATGCTGATTGTTACGCGTTCACACTTACACGTGGAGACGTATTATAGTAAAACTGCTAGCATAGGGGTTTCGTAGAATTTGGTGCAATTCAGGTGGCAGAAACCACCTGAACTGCCTCCCATTTACGCAGCTAAAGCTCTGAAAGTGAATTTCTTTTTTTGCCAACCATTGGATATCTTTACCTAATATTACCACATCTGCGATCATACCTTCACACTTCTTGTTGAATTTTTCACACTGATTCATGATTGATTCAGGTTCAGAAATGACATGACATGTCTATGGATGAAATCTGTGTCTTTAAACCAATGAAGCAAACGAACATGTTCTGTTTTTAAGTATTTAATCGCAACATGATGATAGAAACAGAGTAAAATGCTTCTATTATTATATCATCCCAACAATGATGATTTTGTACAATAACACTGTAGAAAAACTTTTTGCTAAGAATAGATGCAATGCACAGTATTGGGACTGGTGTTGTAACTAAAACAATAATTTTGTTTAAGTTGAAGGATCAGTTCTGTTGAATGATTAGTTTTGCTAAGAACTGGTCTAGTTTACTGTTTGATTTATCTTTTTGAGAGCACCAAATGATGATAGAAATCGTCTTCAACGTATAGTGATGTCTTCTCTACATGCAGCAGCCAACTTATAATAACTTTGTCAAATGAAGTGAATAAATGAATCATCTATCACAACACTGTCACCATTACCACTTTCATCGGTTCTGTCAATAGTGAAATAGTCAATAGTACCCGCCAGTGCTTTTCGTTGACCATTGACTCAAACACTCTTAAAATTTCATGTTCCATAGAACGTGATGCCAATTCATATGACTTACTGTAGAGTATCTTAACGGCATTCAATTATCACTGAATACTACTTCAAATGATTGAAAAGACAAACACTTGTGGATTATGTAATCAACACATAATCAATTGACATTTCTTTTAATTCCATTCACCATTTTCTACACATCAGCTTGAACTGGCTCAGGTTTAGCCTTACGCTTGTCATTAACCTTCCACTTGCTCATGGATTCAAGCTTCGGACTCTTATTCGACCCAATCGGATAAGAGTTAGCCGACTATTCTGCAATATCCGACCTAATCGCAACTCAAGCGTTCCTACTCTTTAAGGGATCTCGTTGTACAGTCGACTATTTCAATGTATTGAGTATTTGAAAGCGCCGTTTTGTTTGCTAGGATAGCTGATTGTTATTATTTAAAACGTGATTATTTGATCTTTTTATGATTTTGTTTCGTTCGAAATTTCAGTCGATCGTGTGTTGATTAAAACTTTCAGATGCACGTATCCTTATCGCTCATCTTAGTCTTTTCCTTGTTGCAATTCAGAAAAGCTGAGAACGATTGGCTATTCAACGTTAAAACATTCTTAACTAATGCAACAAGTACATTTCAAAAAGGTGGCGTCGTTTACGTTTGCTTTTAGATCAATATATGTCTCTATTAAATCTTCACAGATATTAAATCAGATGTTAACCTGTTTACTTGTTCACGATTAGATGTTGGATCAAGTCAGTTAATTTCAATTTTGATACTCATCCTATGTAACCACGTCAATGTAGTGAATATGGTTAACTTCAAGCTATTTGCTACAATTACTGTAAACGGTAGTATGATAACTACCGTTTACAGTAATTGTAGCAAATTTACACGATTGAAGAATTCAAATTTTACACGATTGCGCTCTATTAAATAAACAGTTTCATTGAAGAGTTCAAATCGAAACTGGTTGATGCGAATCAATTGGTGGAGAAGTCGAGGCATGTGCTGGACGATGTGAAAGCAGCACTTGAGTATGGCGGTAAAAAACTGACTGATAAAGCACTTAATACAGCTGAGATAACGTTGAAGGGAGCCGGCGATGAGGTGCTTTCTGGACTCTTTTTATAGTCTGAATGCCCCTTCTGTCTTCGAAATCTTGTCTTATTCTTCGTCGTGTAACAAACGGTGATTATTTGTAACATTTCAGGTCGAAGATTTTTTCGCAGAAGTTCCTAATTCTGTGGCTGGTAAAGTGAATACGGGCTTTCAAGATCTGCTAGAGAAGGCTGATCAAGGCTTCACTTGGTTCTTATGGAATGTTGTCGTTCCAGTCGCTATTTTCTTGATCACTGGTGCTATCATCTATTTAGCCGTTGTTTCCGGGTATGTCATAATGACAGCGACTTTCAAATCTTACTTTCAAGAATAGATATTCAAATAAATATCTATTCCTCTGCGTTTGTTCTACATCAGTGGTTCTTACATTCGGGTGCTCCATTACCCTTTTTAATGATCTGGCAGGCCGCCGTTCCCCCACCCCCCCCTCCCTCCCCCTCCTGATACAAGAACTTATTATTTCTACGTGTAACGTCAGGAAAAAATAGAAAACTGGTCCGGAAATTTCACAGCGGCGTGAAAGAAATTAGTTTTCTGATTGCATGAAAAGCTATTGTCTATGACACGCTCACTTCAAACTGATTTAGATGGATTCTCATTCTTTTCAGACGTTGTATTCACTCTTACATCTAATACATGCGAAAGTCGTTCTATTGATGACTTTTTCTCATTCACTTCGTCTCATTTCACTTCACACTTCGAATCAGTTTCTTATTCAGTAGCATGTACTATTTACTAGATACGTTGACAAGTGTTGACAGCCGATATCAACAATACAGCAATCGAATATTACTGCTCAATAACGTTCGACAGTCAAATGATCAATAATAGAGTGCATTTGATAGAATGAGAACTTGACTCTAATTGTTGAGTAAGATGAATGAGAAAATTTCTTTTGCTCCTCGGGAAGATTTTCATGGAAATTCCTCCCATCCAACACAATAAGAACTCCCACAATCCCACTGGAATTTTAGGTGTTGTGCGTGTTGTTGTGCACCATTGCTGTCACATTTTGGCAAAGCAATACGAAAGCAATGGTCATCGAAGCATAAAGAAGACAACATTTTCAGTGGAAAACAAGTGATCATTCTCCGTACAATTGATGTCTCTGAACCGCTGAAAAATGTTTAGTTGATAATCGCATTATGTGCTTATCTATTTATACATATTCGTTTCAAATGTATACGTGTTTCTGTACCGTGTATGCTCGTAAATTATGTCACTCTTTATATGTGAACATGAGACTTCTGGAATGTTCTTTCTGAGAGGAAAAATTCTTCGAGAAACCTCACAATTCTTTTAAATCTCAAGCCGAAACTACCCATCATCGTTATCTATCAAAAGTTTGCTTTTTTGTACTGAAAGTGTCACATTTCATGAACTGCTGGTTCAGTTCTTCTTCAAAAATTCTCGATTCGTTCAGTTGAATGAGAGTATTCAATCGAAACCTCTGATCCAAACAAATTCACTAATTAATTTTTCTACAAACTTTCCCTATGTTTATATTCACCATCGGTTTTAGAGAACGAACAATGATACGTCTCATTCAAATGAACTGAATTTTTAGATTCACGAATGACTATCATAAATCCTGTTTTTCCTCTCAACTCATTTGATTACATCTTCATTTCTAAGCATCGCAATGAATTTGAGCATTTTGTAAATTTGCTTATCAGTTATGTAAGAGGAAGAGCTAAAAAAGCTGAGATTACTAAGCAATCCCATGTTATTTGCTGTTCAGCTGCATGTCAACGCGCCACTAAAGCGAAATTTAATCGTGTTGAACGAGGAGCAAGTCATTGAATCATTGTACCATCGCATTATTCAAATTCGTAACCAAACGCCTTTCACACTTCTCTGAATTGACCTGCAACCAGAACTACTTGTCGGGGTGGATGCACGGGGCACACTGTCAAAGTACACAATACTTTCTTATTGTTTACCGACTTTTGTTAATTCGGCGGTCAACATTTTTTGAAGGGCGAATAGCTCGATTCTTCAAAAAGAAAGGATTATCTGGCTACGAGTGTGTCCTCAAACAAGTTTATTCGTTCAATTTATTGTTTGATGATCGATCAAAATTAAAAGCAAGCATCTCAATGTGCCTTGTTTTGTGCTATTCTGAATGACCAGTTTAATTCAGACTCTTTCAAGAAGCACTGAAAACAGGATCTAAAATCAAACTTTTATTCTAACGATAAAATGCAAATAAAATTTATGCATTTTTCATAGCGAATACGCATCAAACATCTACAAGTGATTCGTTTGAAACACATTAGATATCATAATTCGTGGTTGTCAATCGAGAAGACGCTCTATAAGTATCGTCGGATGACTGTCGTCAGTTAAGCTCACTGATCGCAGCTGAGTTTCAACTAAATATCATTAGGAGTCAGGAGTTATTTCCACATAATACGTAGTAATTTTCAGAGCGATGCAATGAGATCTAAAGTGTTCGCTTGGAGAAAAAAAAAGCTTCACTTAATAGTCGACTAATCAATTGCCGAATAATGAATTCGACAAGCATATAAAGCGATCGAATAATAATTTCATGACTGTTTCACATAGACGCTATTCCGATCGATGTGCACCGCATTGAGGTGCTGCTCGAGTTCAGCTAGATCACTGAGTAACACATTATGTACGATGTCTGCATCGATTCCACTTTGCGACGGTACGTTCAGATCCACGCTGAATTGTACCAGCAAATTCTGGCCACTGTAAATTTTAAAACAGATTGGCTTTTGCTGATATTTTATGCTTTTTGAAATAACTTAAGCCGTCAAGGTTTCCTCACAGGAACTGATCCGCAGTTGAGAGCTTGAAAGGGAAATTTTTATTATCTTGTAACGATTTATCTTGAAAGAAATGAAGTTTATAATTTTCCCATTCATTTTGAAAGAAGAGTGAGTATAACGGTTTGTTTTGCATTAGTGATTAAACAAGTTCAATTGTTCGCAAATTCTGATTTCATTTTATCATCGCTCCACGACCGATTGTTTCATTCTCCCAAAAAATATATCAAATATAGAGAACGAGAAAGATTTTCAGTGCTTACATTATCAGATAATGAAAGAACTTTCGAAACTGAACTGTGATGCTTCAATTATCTATGAGATGGACAAATGAACATCTCAGTATTCTTTAAATATATTATCTGACGCTAAGCTGACGATGCCAACGAATCATGAAATATCCACAGCAATAGTCGTAAATGTAAGCACGAATGCATAAAAATGTCAGATGGTGATCTTGTGAAATATCGAATGAGTTCGTTCACCTGTTCTCGAGAGTATTCACCGAAACACCAGTTAGGTATTGACCAAGTGTTGACTGACTTAAGGTAGTTTTAAGCTGTAAACATTTGATCAAATCAAATCAACAAATCTGTTCTTATTTCTTCATTCTCACAACAAAACGTTTTGCAAATCTATATTAAATGCAATCTCCAAACTTAGTGTTTATCAGCATTACTTCTTTTCGAGAAATCATGACTTCAGAAAATAACAAAAAAATTTTGTTGGCTCAGCATCAATATCATTGTCAAGCACGAGTGCAGTTCTCTACAAATACTTCTCTCAAGCCTTCACTAAGAATTTGTACTTTTCATTCAATGAATCGAATTCAACCACTCCACCTTGTTAACTAATATCATTTTCTGATCTAGTGACCAATCTCTCTGATCCACTATCACAATTTCAGAAAACTGTTTTGTACAATAAAAAATGTATGATGGGTGTACCATCTGTAAAATCAAGCATAAATATAATTGAATAAACAGTTCCGAACGGAATGTTTCTGTGCAAAAAACTTCTCTGTTCGCATGTAAAGCGAATTCGCGATTCGTGTACAAAGTTCTGAATGAAATCAAATTATTGAAAATGATAAAATGCAGCTTACAGCACGAACAATCATTTGCATGGCTTGTATGTACTGATAGTGATTGCGATCATTGTATGCCGCATTTGCCTGTTCAAGAAGTTGCATCATGCAGAAGAAGTTTCGTTGGTTGAATTCGCCAACAATCGGTGAAAGCGTTATCAGCGGTGTTGTGGATGTTGTTGATTTATTCGGATACGGGGTCGGAGAGGTAGTGATCTGAGGATGTGACCTGGTCGACGATGATATGCGGGTTAAAGGATATAGTGTGGCGATTATTGGCCGAGTAGGCGATACGCTCGTTTCATTGTTTGCGTCATTCGAATTGAACACAAACACTGTAATTGTTAACTATTATCGATCTATTTATCAGCTTTGCTACTGTCTGGATTTCAGAAGAGTGACAGCATCATTATGAAACAAGCAGAGGAGTCAGCATGAGCCAACAACTTGACTGCTTCCCATAAATTGTTACAACATGCTAACTGCGCTCCATATCACTCTTTCACATCCACAGAAAGTCTCTCAACAAATACTTTTATAGTTGTAACGTTATTTTTCCTTCGTGAAGACGTTTTGACGAACAAATATCATATTTGATTCGTTCGATGGGACTTATCAGTTTTGAAGGAATATTCTAAAAAGGAGTGCTATTTGATTTAGAGCGTAGCGCATTTTCCCGGAAAAAAACGTTACCAAACAATTGACTATCCAAACAAACCATAAAAATATACTGTAACTGAAAAAAGGTGACAAAATCGGCTGAAAGCTAAGAGTTAATGCAGCAGTAAAATCTCTCACTTGATCCAATATTTATTCATTAACAATATAGACCCAGATAAATTTCCGGAGTAAATGTATTGTGAAATAAGAGAAAATCAAGAGAGCTTTGTAAACCATGAGTGAAATTAATGCAATAATCGAAAATATCCAGAAGAAGAAAAAGAATCGATCCGCTAGCACGTACCTTTGAGCGCGAGAAGCACGATAATCGCAACAATTAACAACGTGATTAGGACACAACAAAGGATTAGAGCCACAATCAGAGCAGTTTTGGTACTGTAAAGCACAATATATCTATTGGTTATGGACGAGAATCCACAATTGTTGAACGAATTGAATGAAACATGATTGTGGCTAATATTTCTAAATGTACATTGTGAACAACAAAATTGAGACATTGTTTAACTGTAAGCGAAACAGCTACAGAATCGGTGGAAATTTTGACAGCAATATTATCGGTGAGAGTGTGACTTGTCGACAGAGGCTGCTGTGTCTGATTCTAGCAAGCACTCATCTTGTTAAACATACCTTCTCTGTTTGCGAAAAGTGACCGGATGTGGATCAGTACTGAACGCATTACTCGTCAAAATATTACCCGGTGCATTACCACCATGATTCACTGTGCCCCTCGTACGGGCCATATACTCCGCACCAGTGCCCGGTTCAAATGTATTGGCTGATGTGTCTGTTGTATAAACTGAAACACTCAACTTTAATCAACTCATCTTACTTCGCATACAATATTCCTTTGTATTTATTGCAGAAATATATTCGCATATTCCATCTGTATTAAGTCATCCGATTACTTCCCCACAAAATTCGTTTATATTTTACTTATGACTTTAAATAGTTGAATTAACTTGGTAATTAAAAATTAACCAATATTTCTTCCTTGGTAGAAATGCTGTTTCAAATACTTATAGTTAGTGGTGACTTTTGTTAGCAAGTTAATCAGCAAATTTGGTCCGTTAATTGCTACCTTGAATCCGCAAGCTTCTAATTTTATTTCAAAATTTGCAACGACGCTCTGAATGTTCATTGAGAGAAATCATCATTAGGCGATTCGCTTCCTTCATCCCAACTCACTTTGATGAGATAAGCTTGTAAGTTTTTCTGGGATGAGGCGATTCAACATTACTATTGATAAGTGGCACAAATAAGATATGCCCCACTACTGCATGTGCTGAATATATCCAGCAGAATGTGCAACTTGGAGGTAGACAAGGAGGAGGCAAAAAATTCTGAAAGTTACATCTGAATTGAAGATTGGAATAGCGATTAACGCGTTAATGTCTACCATCACGGATAAGATATTATAATCAAACAATCGACAATTTTCTGTGAATCGTTCGACTGCATAGAAGAGGGAGTGATTGAAGCGATTCAAAAAGATGCTAAAACGAATCAAATAACGACAAACGAACAACAGTAACGATAACTCACAATCAGCACTAACAAAAACATCTCATCATCACAAACAACATTGCAAGAAAGCGCTATCATCTCAACATCACATCTCATCTGAGCAAACAACTTGCGATTAGAGTAAGCGATACTGAATTTACAAAATGCTATTCTTCATTACGCATAACTAGATCAATGCGTATAGTGATCATTCATAGATCAGATGCACATCCCATGTATAATTATCCCTCGCATAAACCAGTGAACGCTAGCCACATTCGAGCGTGACAGTATGAACGAAGATATTCATTCTGCTGATTCATTTTTGGATGATTCAGCTCTGACTTTGTGATTGCATAATTGAAATAGGTCAGGCATCACCTTGAAGTTCAATCCTATTCAGAAACTGTTAAGTCCGATCGAGTATTGAATATATCAAATTGTTCCTATTCAACACATAAAAGAGACGATTTTTGGAACGGAAATGATAAATAGTGAGTGTGAGTTTTTTAGTGCTTCAGTGAATCAGTGTACTTCTGTAGGTAAATTATAAACAAGAAATGATAAACAATTCTTCAGGAGGGTCCAAATTCATTTCTGTTGACCTTTCGTCCGAAATATAATATCTGATTGAATAGCGGAAACTTGTTGCCTCAATCCGCATTGACTGAACGAAATGAATCTCTGGTAAAACGGCATACCCATGTCATAAGGTCTGAAGTTGTCCCCTTGAGAATTCAGTTCAGTTGAATGAATTTATTAATGAATCTATCGTTCAATTCAAATTCCCACTTAAGAGTTGTTCAGAACCAACCAACCTTGATCTGGTGAAACATACTCAGAATCTCGACGTCTCTGAAACTTTCCAGCCCGGCCAAATGACATCGAGAAGACAGATTAGTCAGTTTAGGCAGCAGTCGTACAGATTATATTACCAGTGTGTCGAATACCGCTCAGCTGGTGTGTACAATAAAATATCGGTTTGAAAATGATGATAAATATTAACTGAACGATGAATAAGTGATAAAATATGTGCTACCATAAGCAGTTCTGATGATGAACGAAAATCGATGCATTTGACGATTGGTATTCAATAGACGTACTCTGCTTGGATGGATTTTCAACACAATAACTGCTTCTTCATGACTAATAGAATAAAGGATCTGATTTTGCATGGATATATCGAACGTTTAGTTGGCGTGTGTGTGTTTGTGTTTGTGCAGTCTAACGTATACATAAGAGCAGGTGATCAAGCTGTCTTGCATCTGATAACAGTAAACCCGAGACTGGCTTTATCGTAGGCATTGTCACTTGATTGAACGTACGATCGGAAATTTATCACTAAATCATCGCTGCTCATCAGTAATAAGAATCAATATATTGGATTCGTTGCATATAAGCGTGTTGTTTCCATTCGGAAACTTCGATAGCAGTATTTGAGACATTTGTCGTCCAGCAGTCTCTATACATTTTGCTTATTTCATGTGGACGTGCACTGCATAATGACATGTTTCAACGATCAAGTGAAATTTATTTATTGCACCAAGAAAGTATGAAAGATAACGACAATAGGATATGAACAGTAGCTGTAATAATATACATGTGCATATGAATCACGATGAAAATAAATAGTCGTATGATCCCGATCGAGACTTGACCACTCCAAAAAGACAACTTCAGAAGAAGTCCACAAAATATACAATTGGAAATGTGACAAATAAACTCATAAGATTAGCTGAAGTCAAACCGCTTCAACGGTAATCAACTTCGGATTGAGTCGAACTAAGGAACTATCATAATTCAATCTAAATAGCAAACCATGATGAATGCACAAACAGTCCGCTCCCTCTCCGAAATATTCTATCCAGAGTATCAGTATCTGTATTTGCAATTTGGTCCAATCCACCCCCGCAGGGGGATGATTCATCACAAAGCGTCATGTATCCTGCACCTCGAAAAAAGAGGCGAGGTGCACTGTCCCGAAGTCGAATCAATATGATTTTCAATCAAGCACACTGATGAATGCATTGTTCAATTGATTAATACACCGTCCAACATCATCAAACCGAAGCACTCGGGAATGGAATATGGTTTCGACGTCAGAAGAAGATAACATTCTGCTGCAATTATGCCATCTCGTAATCACTAGATGCCAGTATTAAACAACGGTCACATAGGCGGTATCTTCATGCGGAAGGCCGAGTTTGGTTGCTAGAGCCTTACTCAGACAACGCTTCGTTTGCAAGCGTGCAAATCCATCAGCACACTTTTTATACTGAAACCGCGTAAAGCCATCCGGTATCGGACAATTGTGTTTCTTCACTAGATGTCGGCTCAAACCATAACCGTTCGCATACTTTGCATTACATAAATGACATAAATGTGTATGTTGCTTGTAATCCTTAAGAATTATTTCCAGTTATTCTTTATCTAAAATGTATTGTTCAAAACACAATGAAAAAAGAAGTTTGAACATAAAAATTAGGAACACTCATAGAAAGTCAATACCTGTGAATCAATCTCATCCCAAAATGACAGAAATAAACAAAAATGATCAATAATGTCAAAAGTTGAACTAAAACGTTAGTTAATTATCTTACATTTCATTGAACCAAAGCAATTAATTCAAAGAGAAATAATTTCTCAAAACAGTCATAAAAACATTAATAACTAAAACTTTCGAAATAATTGCAACAAATTAATATCACAACTCACAAACCTTATCATGCTTACGTGCATGTATTACGAGTTGCTTACGCCAGCGAAATTTTTCGTCACATATTTCACAAGCGAATTCCAATCGGTCACTGTGAATCGCTTGATGACGTTGTAGATCACCTTTTTGTGCAAATCTGAAAGAATCATTTTCAATTAAATTTTCAACTGCTAATTCAGCAATCAAGTAAACGAACCGAAAATGCATGAAGTTTGTCTGAAATACTGACTGACCTTTTGGGACAGTGCAAACACTGATAATTGCGCTGCTTGGCATGAACCGAAAAGATGTGTCGATGGAGCGCAGACGGACTGTCGACGACCACCGAACAGAAATCGCACTTATGCTTCATTATGTGTCGACGGCAGTGCTCTCGTAGCAAACGATCGCACTCGTATCGCTTCTGACACAATATACACACCAAGCCATTTGTCGGCGCTATTCGCCCGGCACCATGTTCTTCAGCAGTCGACGGCATCACTTGTGTTTCGGAGCACGACAGTGCACTTGAAACAATGATCGACTCTGATGCTGAATAATCAATGATTAACATTTCCTACACCCTATTACTTTTCACGTTCTTTGTTGTTCACAACCAACATAAACCACTCCAACATTCAATTCAATCCAGCAGTGCGCCAATTATAAAACCAACCGCCATCAATATATTAAAACCCAATTAACGTTTAAGATTTTGAACCAGTGAATCATCTTGTTGCATCACTTTTGATAGAAATATATTAGTATATCACGATTTAGATAACTTGATCTTACATTTCCAAGAAATCTTCCGTTCCATGCCAATCACTACGGACTAAAAATGAGACGAAAATTTCCACAAGAAAATTCAGTTACCTGACAGTCATTAAGAATTAGAAATGAGGTAAAAACATATCAGAAGTTAAAACATACATCCATTGGGATATGATTTTCGCAAAAGATGATGAAAAAGTTTCGAATTGCTCGCAAAAAATGCGCCACAAAACGGACATGCGGTCGCCTTGTCGCCCGAATGATGACGAACGTGAACACGCAGATTCGCTTTATTTTTAAAGCCAACCGTGCATTCTGAAATGACTGCATACACAAACAACAATCAACACTGTGACAGATGATCAACAGTTTTCCTTGTCTTTCGAGTAGTGTGTTACAGATAACGGGAAATTTCGTGCACTCCGTCCCCGACATTTCTCTAAACAACCGCATTTTCGGGAACGCCGACTGCAAATTTTCTCCTTCTCCACGATGTACTACTTCCGAAATTTAAGCAACGATTCTTCAGTACTGGTTCCAGGCCAATCAAAAACGATTCAACAACACCAAAAACAAACAAACAAAGTCATGGCTATGGCACCTCACCTCTCCAATGGCATCTCAATAAATTACGTTGGTCACGATCTTCGGTGCCAAGCAAATCTACATGAAGCTTCACATGCTCGGCATATTGCAATATGTCTTCAAATAACATCTGCAATCTCATAAAACATGACATCAACAACCATCCTGCACATTGCCATTAAACATCACTCAAAAACATGTAATTAAAAATTTCACGGCTCCACTGATCATCAACCGATGCGTTAGTTGGTATAAAAAATCAAATCGTTTGAGTGCATGATTACTGTTCATGCTTGCTCGAGAAAGCACCCGACGTCCACAGAACATCAATTAGATTGATAATATATCAGAATTTTCAATTGACGAGGTACATCCGTACCCCGTCAAACTAAGGTTGGTACCAAAAAACTGATTAGCTGTCGATGATTCAAAAATACGACTACAAATTTGCATCTGACTGCAAGATCGCAAATTTGCTTTCTTCAGCAACATTATCAGGTCGTCTGATGATAATTCTGGTTCAAAATTTCACTATCACATGAAATAAGTGAAACAAATCCAACTGAAATAAAGGCTTACACCACAATTACCCCATTCACATCGCATCGGAACACCCTCATAAACAATACGTGTTGGAGTGGATGGCGCGAATCCGCAACTGAAACTTGTTATTCATAGAGCACCAAACCTGATTCACCAAATATGAATGGGTACAAAACTTTGCAGAAGCGCCGATAACCATAGCATTTGCTGTGAATGAATATCGAATTGTTGTTCCAGCAATGCGAAGGAAATTTTCAGTCAAATAATTGAGTGTTATGAAGACAATGAAAGAATAAATCAAACAGAAACGAACGACGTTAAATGTGACCAATCGGGTCGCTGCATAATAGTTTTCAAACCGACAAACTGTCGATGTGCATGAAATTTATGCATGTTGAGGTGACGTTTCAGATCAACCATAGATTGCAGGATCAGTTCACATTCAAGAATCGGGCAAATAAACGATGGTGATGATGACAGGGAATAAAGACCTGAAATCATTTCGCAACTTCTGTCATCCAAGTCAAACAGTTGCAACTCGACAGAAACAATCGAATACCCCGTTTCAAAACGCTATAGGTATGACCCGTTATTCTTAAGATGAGAAAGCAAGAGGCACAAATTCTGTACTATCATCTAGAGACATTTAAATACCTTACTGCTTTGAGTTCTCATGAGAATGCGAAGCTCAGGCCAACAAAAAGTGAAAGAATGAAACAAACTTGCTGATAACACAATGATATGCTGATCGAAATGAGGGATCAACTCTTCTAACGAACAAAATATAGTACTGCAACCATTCCATAGGCAACGACAATTGACCTTAAACAAGGCGGAAAATTCAGATTCCTTGAACGGGAAGCGTGAATGAATGGGAAGACTGAACGAGAACGTGTGGTTCATCCAGGCTAAAGGAAAAACCTTTTAATTTAACGGGACCGAAAGTGGACACTTTCTTATTCCAACAGAAAAGATCTTCAGAATTCGTCATTAATCGAGACGGATTGAACTCGTTATTGCTATTTTACGTACCGTTTCATCATCACGCCACACCCAAGACAGTGGTCGTTCAACATTTACGATACTCATTTTGATTCCAACCAGCTTTTCACAACTACAAATCAATAAAACATTTCGATTATGAAAACATATTAATCAGGCATTCGCGTAACTAAGATCGCCATAATACCAGATTGCTGTTCGGATTCAACTCAATTTTCTGCTCAAACTAAGGCTCAAATCCATGTTATAAGTGCACTTAAGCGTGAACGAAATAACGCAAACGGCCCCCGTTTGCGTTATTTCGTTCACTTAAACAGGTCATTAGTAAGCATCACCCGTCGTGAATCCGTTTCTAATTAACGAGTGAAACTGCTTGCCTAGCATAAATGAACGTGAACACAAATCACCATCGTTTAAAATGGCTTGATCTTGACGAAACATCCTTTCAACTAACCGTAAGTAAGATTTTGCTGAAATATGATTAATGAAAGCTTCGCTTTTTGAGCAGTGCGAACGCTTAGGATTACGCTGAGGCTATTTTACGCTGAGGCTATTTTCCAATCAGGAATTGTTCGAACAATGGTTTTCTGTTTACTTGCTCGGTGCTGTCTATTGAAATGAGTTAAAAGTTCAATCACTGCAATTCATTCGTATTTTATAAAATGAAAAATTCCCA